GGGCCGGGCAGCGGCTCTTCCTCTGCCCTGTGCCCAGCCCCGCCGCGCCGCAGGTCTGTGCCCCGACCTCCGGCTCCCTCCTTCCTGCCTGTTCCTTCCCGTGGTGCAGGCAGCAGAGGCCGCCCGGGCTCTCCTGCTGCGCCGGCTTTAGCAGCTTGTCTCCTGTGGTCCCGCAGATTGTAATGTAGGAGACCCTGCGATGTCCACAGCCTCAAAAAAATGTAGCAGACCCTGCGATGTCCACAGCCTCGCAGCTTGGCCCAGGGTCCAACCCGCTGCCGAACCTGAACGAGACCAGTTCTTCCAGCGTGCCTCATGGTGCTGCCCCCGGCTTACGGTCAGACGCTGCAGGAGGCGGAGGCGGCGGCGGCGGAACAGGAAAGCAGCCTTCACAGTTCGTTTACGTCTTTACAACGCACCTGGCTAACACGTAAGCAGTAAACCCCGTCTGTCCTCCGCTGGTGCAGGGCTGGCCTGTGACACCTGCCTGCTGCATGCTGCACTTGAGTACAAGAGAGCTGGAGAGACCCACGTCGCTTTGGTTGCACAGAGTGGGTCCTCCTGAGGTTCAGGAAGTTTGCTGGCAGCTACTGCTGGTGGGCAAACTTTGTCTTAAATGCACGCTTCCTCCCAGCAATGCCCAGCACTGTATTCTGCAACACGTGCCGTCGAGTACATCTAATCAGCATCCAAGGGAAAAATTCTCCCAAAGCAGTGTGGACTGCTGGTCTGATTCGGAAGTATCTAAGGGGCTGGGTGTCACGGGGAGTGCCATGTCACACTTGGTGTTCTCCACTCAATTCCTCCCTTCTGTCCTGCATCGTCTCAGCCATGGAGTCTTAGCAAGGCTGTTGAGTTTTAGAGCTCTGCTATACCACAGGTTCGGTGTAGTAGATCCCAGAGCATCTTGGCGACAGCCACCTTAGGGCAGCAGGCAGCAGCAGGCACAAGGCAGAGCCAAGTGTCCGTCACAGGATGTGGGAAGAGGGAAATTCCAGGGCAAGCGATCGTCAGTTGGAGAACCTCACTGGGGCCTGTGCAGGACGAGTGGGAGGACTCTGAGAATATCCCCCCTTCTCGGTGACCTCCAGAGGTTTCCCTCTTCCCGCAGGACTGAAGAGCGCAGGTGGCACCTGGGGCCTGGGATGGGTGGGATGGGGCACAATTCCTGTTCTCGAGCGGTTTGTGCTCTCTCCCCAGAGCTGCAGAAGCTGTCCTGCAGGGTCGAGCTGACTCCATTCTGGCCTACCATCAGCAGAACGTCCCACGGGCAAAGCTAGACCAGGTATACCAGCTATGAACGAAATGCTGCTGTTGGCACGTGCTGCTGACTGCTGACGCTTCGCTTCTGACGTGGCCGTTCTCCCTCAAGCTCTTGGCTCAGCTGTGGAGGAAGGGGTTGTCAGAATGCCCTTTCAGTGGGGTGGGAAGCTGCTTTGCTGTGGAACCTCTTCAGAGTGACTTCTGGCTGCTGTCAGCTGTGGGAAGTTTGGGATGGGGCACAGTATGTGGCCCTGCAGCCACTTTGTGCGTTTCCCGGGCACATAATAGGGCCTGCTTCTTCCCCACAAGAATGAAGGTGAACTGCCACGGGGCATGTTTTTGGGACAGAGAGGTCTTCTGCAGGGCACAGGGAAGAATACCTACCCAGGGTTTTTCCTGCTCACGTTTATTTCCTTTTCTCTGCCAGGCGCCAGCTCCTAAAGTGCTGGGGGTTGCTGAGCCGATTCCGATTAACCCTCCTGCTGCCAACACTCCACAGTCCCAGCCACCGGCACCTCAAGCGAGTCAGCCACAGCCGCAGCCTCCCCCACCGCAGCCTCCGCCTCCACCTCAGACCATCAGTCAGACACCTTTGCCTGCGCCCAGCAGCCTGCCCCAGGAAGGGACAAGTGAAGATGTCCGGAGAGATCTGACTCCCAACTCTTTGGGGAACAACAGCGGCAGCAACCAGCCTGGAAGTAACCACCCAAATACGCCCACCGCGTCTGCCAACACCATGCAGCCTGGGCAAGTGGACTCCTCCGCCACGTCCAGCTCCAGCCTCCTCGGGGAGGGCCCAGGCCCAGGGATGCCAGGGAACGGGCAGGCAGGCCTGGGCCCCCAGGAAGGGCTCTCGAAGGAGCAGCTGGAGCACCGAGAGCGCTCTCTGCAGACCCTGCGGGACATTGAGCGTCTGCTGCTGCGCAGCGGGGAGGCCGAGCCCTTCATGAAGTCCAGCCAAAATGCGGGTGAGGGCGGGACTGCTCCTCAGCCACAGGCTGCCCCTGCCCAGCCCTCTGCACCCCCCGCCAGCATGAAGAAGTATGAAGAGCCTCTGCAGTCCATGATCTCCCAGACCCAGAGCCTTGGTGGGCCCAGTCTGGAACACGAGGTGCCCCACCACCCAGGCGCTGACATGGGGCAGCAGATGAACATGATGATGCAGCGGCTGAACCAGGACAGCCTGACACCGGAGCAAGTGGCCTGGAGGAAGTTGCAGGAAGAGTACTATGAGGAAAAGCGACGGAAAGAGGAGCAGATCAGCATCCACGGCCGGCCCATGCAGGAGATCATGATCCCGCAGTCGATGGGGAGCATGATGATGCGTGGGCCCCCACCACCCTACCACAGCAAGCCTGGAGAGCAGTGGCCGCCAGGGATGGGCAGCCAGCTGCGGGGACCCATAGATGTGCAGGACCCTATGCAGCTGCGGGGAGGGCCACCCTTCCCAGGGCCACGGTTCCCTGGGAATCAAATGCAGAGAGTCTCTGGCTTCGGAGGGATGCAGAACATGCCCTTGGATGCTCTTGGGCCCATGAATGCCATGCAGAGGCCAGTCAGGCCTGGCATGGGATGGAGCGACGATATGCCTCCTATGGGAGGCCCTGGGAACTTTCCGCAAGGCACCCTGCCCTACCCATCAGGGCAAGGGGACCCCGAAAGGTTCATGAATCCCCGTGCCAGGGAGGAGATCCTGCGGCATCAGCTGATGGAGAAACGCCCAGTGGCAATGCAGAGGCCCATGGGGATGTCCGGAAACTCCATGAGCCAGGGCATGGAAATGGAGAGGATGATACAGGCTCACAGGCAGATGGATCCATCCATGTTTGCTGGCCAGATAACGGGGGACAGCCTGAGCACTGCCCCGATGGGAATGGATTTTGCAGGCACTCGGGGGATGCTGAGCCCCCCTATGAGTCAGTCGGGCCTTCGGGACATGGATGCACCCATGGGCCCTGGCAACCTCAACATGAACATGAATGTCAACATGAACATGAACATGAACCTCAATGTCCAGATGACCCCGCAGCAGCAGATGATGATGTCGCAGAAGATGAGGGGCCCCGATATGATGGCCCACCAGGGCATGAGCCCCGAGGAGCTGGCCAGGGCAAGGGCTCAGAATGGCAACGGCAGTGCAATGCTGGGGGGACCCCAGAAAATGATGATTCCCTCCCAGTTCCCCAACCAAGGACAGCAAGGCTTCTCGAGTGGGCAAGGGCCTTACCCCAACATGCCCCAGGAGATGGGCAGCGGCTCGGACATGTTCAGCCCTGAGCAGGGCACCATGCCTGTTGGGAGCATCAGTGGCACCACCAGGCTCAGCCACATCCCTCTGCCTCCAGCCTCCAATCCCACTCCCACGCAAGGGGGCAACCTGGCCAACATGCACCCAGCACCTTCCCGGGGGCTGGGCCGCCGGCCCTCTGACCTCACCATCAACATCAGCCAGATGAACTCCCCCAGCATGGGTCACCTCAAGTCTCCCACTCTCAGCCAGGTGCACTCGCCACTGGTCACCTCCCCCTCTGCCAACCTCAAGTCCCCACAGACACCCTCGCAGATGGTCAGCATGCCACCTTCAAACCAGTCTGGACCCCTCAAGTCCCCCCAGGTGATGAACTCCTCGCTTAACGTCCGGTCTCCAACTGGCTCACCAAGCCGCCTGAAGTCCCCTTCTATGGCTGTTCCTTCCCCTGGTTGGGTGCCATCTCCCAAAGCCACCATGCCCAGCCCAGGAGTCAACCAGAGCAAGCAGACGCTCAGCATGAACTCGTCTGCTTCCATGGGAGGACTGGATCAGGGTATGCTGGGTACCTTGTGTGCGAGTGCGCATGTGTGCTCGGTTTTGGTGAGTGGGTGGACGGTGCTTCTCTCCAGCCCGCGTGCTCTCGCAGGAGTGGGGAGATGCTCGTGCCTGTGCGTGCCCTTACGTCTCATGGAGCAAGTCTTTTTTCCCAGGAGTCCAAATGGGGCCTTTTCAGGAAGATGGGAGGGCGAACAGAGCAGCTTTTACTTCCACCCTGGTTCGTGCTCTGTGATACAGGCAGCAACAGATGTGTCTCTGCTGGGCAGTGAGGGGCAGTTTGAAGTGGAAGTCCATCACCGTTCTGGAGCAGGGTCTCTGCAGGAGCCTCCTCAGAGTCCGGAGGGTGCTGAGCTGTGCCAGCTCTGCGTTTTGCAGCTTCCTCTGGTCACTGCCATCGGAAGGAGGGGACGGGGTTGCTGTCTGACGGGAGCAAGCCACAGTGCATGGGCGGTACTAAGCTGGCCTCTCTCTCACTTGCAGGTTCTCTCCCTTCTGGGCCTCGGAGCAGCTCTTCCGCGCCAGCCAGTAACACCTCTAGCACCATGAATCCCAACATGCCTTTTACTTCCTCTCCAGATCCATCTCCCTCCCAGAACCCCCTCTCACTGATGATGTCCCAGATGTCCAAGTATGCCATGCCCAGCTCCACACCGCTTTACCACAATGCCATCAAAACCATCGCCACCTCTGATGACGAGCTGCTGCCAGACAGGCCTATGCTCCCGCCTGGAAGCATGTCAGGTACATACCTCTGGGGCTGGGCTTGCAAGGCGTCTTGTGGCTGCCGGCAGGCCTGAGGCACCAGGTGGAGGAGGCATTAGAAACTGTTCTCCCACCGACTGCCATGTCAAATAGCTTAAATTTGCCCTCGTTCGTAATAGTCTGCTCACATCTCCGCCCTGTGCCCAGGCTGTCCATCAGCTTTTGGCTTGGGTGTGCTGTCTGGAAAGACATGAGCCAGCCTGGCATTTGAGGCACCCTTCTTCCACGAACTCTGGAAGTTTTCAGAACTACCTTTACCCTGTGTGGATGCGTCAGCCCTGGATTTTCATGGCTCCTGCAGTTGTGTCAGGCCCAGGATTTGCAGACAGAGGTCTGCTGCTTGGAGCCCTTGTGTTCTCATGCAGCGGGACGGGGGTGCACTGAACAGGGTTTGGGAGTCTGGTGTTTTGAGTGGAGCCCAGATGCCTGCACAGGCAAGGCTGTGTCGTAGCATAGTTCTGATTTCAGTAGGTTGCAGCCAGACACGCTCCGCTAGCTGGTGGCATTGAAGGACAGCTAGGCAAATGAGTGTTTTTCGTCACTTGGTGACCAGCCCGAAGGGGAATTCCAGCACACTGTACCACTTGATTTAGGGGTTTAAAGCTGTCTGATAAATATTTTTGGCAGTTTTCAAAATGAAAAATCAACTTTTTGACTCTTTCACTGCTGAGGAGTCACTTAGGTTGACCGCAGGCATGCAAATGCATTGGCTCCCTCCTAACCCGAACCCCTCCACAGGCACTGATCGCTCTGCTGTACCGATGGGCGCAGTCCTCCCTCCCTCCCGGACAGCACCTGTGCTGGGCTGCCGACTCTCCTGCTTTTTTTCTCTGCACCGCCCGAGGCCATGTGGTCACCAGAGCTTGCCGGGTGGCTAACCCTGCAAGCAGGCAGGCAGGCAGTGGTGAAGGGTCACTCCTCGGTGCCTTCCAGGCAGCTGAGAGTGCTGCTGAGATCATGGTGTAGGGCTGTTCCAACACGCAGAGCCAGCCGGGACTCTAAAATCAGCGGGCTGTAAGGAACTACAAATCCAGCGTGGGACTGGATGAAGCTGGAATAGGTCTCTGCTGCTTGTGGGCTTGGGGAGCTGGAGTCTGGGGCACTTTTTCCTGACGGTGGTGCTTTGCAAGCCCATCTTGCGGCTGCTTACTGAGCATCACGCTCCGTGCTCAGGGCTTTCTGAGCAGGAGTGCTCGCCGGGCTTCCAGGGTGTGGATTTTGCCGCCCTGAGAGGTCTGTGGGCAGAGTTAACGCTTCTGTCTTTTTCCTCTCCTTAGGCGTGACGGGGAATCAGCCGAATCAACTGCACTTGAACTCCGTGGGGCCTGGATCCTCTCAGAGCCCCATGGGAATGAACCTGCCTGGTCAGCAACCCCTCTCCCACGAACCGCCCCCCACCTCCATGATGTCCTCCCCAAACCCTCTAGGCTCCAACATTCCTATGCACCCGAGTGCGCCGGGGGCGGGCGTGCCCCCCCAGAACCCCATGATGCTGCCTCCGGGGCCCCAGGACTCGTTGAACCAGCAGTGTGGCCCCGTGCCTAACAGTTCGCAGATGATTCCTCCCAACCAGCTCGTGTTCCCCCGCATGCAGCAGCCCCACAATGCCATGCCGTCTCCCGCCGGAGGCATGCCCATGGCCCCTGGAGGGGGAGGTGGCCCTGGGATGCAGCAGCATTACCCGCCGGGGATGCCCTTGCCGCCTGAGGACCTTCCCTCCCAGCAGCCCAGCCAGATGCCCCCTCAGCAGCACATGATGGGCAAGAACATCCCTCCTCGGATCGGCGAGCCCTACCCACCCGTGCTTCCAGGGGTGGCGTCAGTGCTGAACGACCCCGAGCTTAGCGAGGTCATCCGCCCCACGCCCACGGGTATCCCCGAGTTTGACCTGTCCAGGATCATCCCATCGGAGAAGCCAAGCAGCACCTTGCAGTATTTCCCCAAGAGCGACAGCCAAGCGCCCAAATCGCAGCCTTCCAACCTCCACCTCATGAACCTGCAGAACATGATGGCTGACCAGCCCCCAGTGCGGCCAGGTATGAATGCCCCCAGCCTCCCTGGGCAGCAGGGCGTGCAGAGGGGACTCAGCATGCCCATGTGCCATCCTGGACAAGTGCCCATGCTGGGCAGGACAGGCATACCGCCCCAGCAAGGCATGATGGGCAACAGCATGCACCAGGGCATGATGTCTCCGCAGCAGAGCCTGATGGCCCAGCAGAATTTCATGCTGATGCAGGCCAAGCAGAGGAGCATGTCTGTGTCAGGGGAGATGTATGCTCAGACAGGACACATGATGTCACCTCAGGGCTCTCTCATGGGGCCCCCGCCTCAGCAGAACCTCATGGTCACGCACCAGATGAGGCAGAGGAGTGTCTCCCTGGACAGCCAGATGAGTTACATCCCCGGGCCTGGGAACATGGCGAACCTGCCTTTCTAACCCTGGCTGGCGCTCAGGGGTGGGGAGGGGATGGGCTGCCTGTACAAACGTTTTTAAAACCTTTCTTCGGGGGAGGGTTGGGGGCCAACGCCGGTGGAGGACGCCACGTGGGATGCTTTTCATATCGGATTCGCCTCTACACAGAAAACCAGATGTGCAGTAAACTTGATGTGAATTGGGTTTCTTTTTCCTTTGTTTTTTGGGGAAGGGGAGGGTGGAGGGGCTGGAAATGGGGCTGTTGTTTTGAACCCTGTGTGGTGACCAGGGACATGCAGACCCTGTGGCAGTTTGTAAAATTTTCGTTTATGGTTTTCCTCCGTCAAGTGTTTTTCTTTCCCCTTTTGATCTCTCTCTTTTTCCCTTTTTCTTTTTTTTTTTTTTCTTTTTTTTTTCTTTTTAAGCAACAAAAATGTGCAAGAGGGTTTTTGGAACTAGCTGTAAATAGGTCGCTGGGAAAGGCAAAACTTGTGCTGGTTTTTAATTGTTCTGTATTTCTGTGTTTTAATAGAAGCCTCAAAACATGTTTTAAAAAAAACAGAAACAAAAAAACATGCTAAAGGCAACAGTGTACAAGGATCGAAAACTCTCCCTGGGGGAGGCAGGAGGATCCCCCAGGGTGCACAGGGCATTGAGAGATCCCATTGTAGAGTGATTCTGTGTCAAACCTGTGTTGTTCACACGTCTGAACAGTTTGCATGTGCGGGGTGTGTAATTTCACGCAGATCTTAGGCCCCTGTGGCGGCTGTGCCGAGTACATGAACACAACCAATGACCGAGGACCATTGGAGAGGTCAGAGCTGTGGCCCCGGTGAAATGTTGCCGGAGCAGTGCTCATCTGGCAGGGCAGAGGCCGTAGCTTCATGGGATACAGTTGTCACTGCTCCGTGGCAAAGCTGCCGTGGCTGGGACGGGGAGGATGCTAGCTAGCCCTTTGGCTGGAGAAGCAGCGAGGATCTGGGCTTCGCAGATGATAACGTGCTGGACCCAAAGGTCTTGACCGGCCGTGTCGCCTCTAGTCCCTTAATTTCCCTTCATGCTGTGTCCCCTGTGGGCAGGTTGTTGCGGTACGCAGGGACAGATGGGCTCCGAGATGAGTGAGGTGATGTATTCCTCTGCTTCCGGGAGAGGCTAGCTGGGAACCCTGCTCTTCTGCAGCCTTCCTACACCAGTCCTTTACCCATCCATTGCCCTCCGCGACTGCGCTGCGCCCCCTCTACCTCTGCCATTGAATGCTCTCCCAGGTCTTCCTCATGCTTGTTGGTCCTCCTCCAGAGTTTCACAGGCAGTCTTTGCTCCATCTCGCCCTGAGCTACCAGCAGCAGCCCTGCCCTACTGCACAAGAGAGGTCCAGCCGTTGAAGATGACCTGTCCCTGTGTGCGATACTACATTTCAGTATAAGTTCTCTTGTACAGTCTCAGCGGCATGGCCATCCTGTGCTTCGGACAGAAGAGGCTGAGGTTGCGTTGCAGCCCCTCGTTCCTAGGCTGGTAGAAGCGTGCCGTTCGAACAACTCTGGCTTTTCTGGATGCGCTCCACCCTCCCCATTCTCCACTGCGTAAGGTCTTCCTGCATGCGGCACTGATACTCTTCCCTGTGTTTGTTCACGGAGGGGACTGTGGGGTGACGCGCATGCACTTCTGCACACACCGCAGTATCTCTGAACCTCCGCGGGGACCGCATTCCAGCATGGTGTACCCTATGGGTATCCAACGGTGAACTCGGGGCACGTGATTGCCAGAGGAACACCAGTTGGAGGATTATCTCTGCAGTGCCAGACTTAGCATACTACCTCTCTTGTAACAGAGCTCACCTACTTGTGCTGCAGGGAGGAGAGGGCTTTTGGAAAGGGAGATTGTCAAGAAGTGAGCAAAGGGCAACACTTTTTATCATGTTGCAAGCTGTTCAGAAAGGCCGGCGGGTGCTGAAATGTCAGCCTGGTGGCTGTCTTGATCCAATCCGTGAGAAGATGGAGCCACAAAGTCCAGTTAGGAATACCTTGAAGCCTTGGGGTGTTTTGTAGCGAGCAGTACTGGGTGGGAAGCATGGGTCTGGATTCGAGGAAGGATTTCGCTCTGGTCTCCTGCTTTGTGTGGTTTTGTTGTGTACAATGTGAGTGAGCAGCATTTTCACAGATGGCAAAACGGGAACAATCCTGGGAAGTGCTCATCCCTGCCTTGGCAGTCAGAGCAGGGGAATAATCTTCAGCCCAGGCTAACGAAGTGTGCTTTGGACCTGACGTGTTAGCTGGTTGGATTCTCCATCCTTTCAGAGTGTGCGTTTCACGTGGGAGGATGTGGCTCGAACAGATGTAGCTCTTTCTAAGCTTGACTTGCCTGAAAAGCTGTGGCTTCTCTTGGCTGCACTTCGGGGTGTTGGCTGCTGGTAGTTTCTCATAAACATCCAAATACCAGTGCCAGCCCCAAACCTTGCTCATCACCCACCAGCTAGTCTCAGTTAATTTGAAGCCATAATATTTTCTATACGGAAGTTTTTTTGTTTGTCTGTAGACAGCTGTTGTTTTAGCCTGGTTGAGATCGCCACGTGTCCATACCTTCTCTGTTGTCCCTTTTGCCCAGCCCGACTGAGAAGTTGCCTGGGGCTTGCGGTCCTCGCTCTGTCGGCAGCGCGTTGTCCCCGTGTCAGCCAGAGCCCACAGGCTGCGGTGCACCGCTGTGCAGTGCTAGGGAGGTCGGCACTGCCTGCTCGCAGGGACAGGGCAGCACAATGCTATTTCTGCCTGGCAGCAGGAGGAAGACCTGTCCTTCGGTGACAAATGAGTAAGAAGCAAAGCCTTTTGACTCAGCAGCCCTGGATACAAAAGGGAAATCCTGATGCTAGGTCAGAGCTGGGGACTTCGGAGCAGCAGTCGGTGCTCTTCTGCAAAATCCCACCGCCCTGGAGCCAGCCCTACCCCTACCACCGTGATGGCTGAACGACGGGGAGAAGTGCTACCTAACACCCCTCTGCCCCGGGCGCTGCTCCCAACCACGTCTGTGAACAGCAATATGGCAGG